TCACTTCCGGAGGAAGCAGTCATTCAGAAGCCCCGGATTGGTTGATTGCCTGGGGCTAATCCCCAGCTGTAACCTATTAGGGAAGCTTATCTCCCCGATATCTGAACAAACGGAGCATTTAGAAGTCCCCTGCTGCAAGGAAGTAACAGGACGAGGTGGTTTACAATTTGAGCTTGGCTGCAGAGGGTGGGAGGGAGGGGGTAGCACTCTGATCATTATCCCCAGGATTTTCACTTTTACCCCACTTGGGGTAATTTACCCCTGTTCCCCGACCCATGGAGTAGAGTTTTGTTTAGGTCCACAGTGTGAGAAGAAAGAATTAGATCTGCTCTATGTGCACCATAGTTTCAGTCTTGTTTTCTTCCTCCCTTTGTGGCTGCTATTCATAGTTTTTGGAAGTGCAAATGTCATGTTTAAAATGCCAGGCTATTTGGTCCTTATGTTGATTATGTCTAGAAGGATTGGGAAGGATGAAATGAATCTCACTTTCAGACTTCTTATTTCTATATTCTTGCTTGTAGGAAATATGGCCCAGGTGTGGATTTAGGAAGTCTGTACCAAGTTATAGCCATACTTAGACTATAATTGCATTATTTCACACCTTCTATTAACAACTTATGAAAGGTTAAGTTTGAATTAATGACAATCCATATATTACTTATGGTGTTCATATATTGTCGTGACCACCATGTGGAGGCTCTCTTAGATTGTCAACGTTTTGAGCCAATTCACTTGTAGTGCTTCTAACAAAGTAGCTGTTTATCCCCTTTTGAAAGGCCTTTTTTGAGTATCAGTATTTCAGCCCGTGCAGCTTGGAATCTTTCAAAATTTTAAAAAAAGTGGGTAGGGCCAACCATTCCTTTTCAAGATAAGTAAGATTGGTCTTTTCAGTTTATGTGATTTGTTTGAATCTGAGATTTTTTTTTTGGGCTGGCTCTTCTGAAGAATGGAGTAAAACACTTCTAAAAAATCATAACTTGAAAACTATATCTCTAAAATTCCCCAAATTTGGCATAGTGCAAAAGCAGACTGCTACACCTGAGCCAGTGTCAAAGTCATAACCTTTTGATTGGCCTTGTAGCATGTTGATTTATTCTGCTGCGCGGTAGCATAGCTGCATTGTCATACAGCTATAATCTATGGACCATATATCATGCAATTGTAGTAAACCAAACTTTTCCATGTATAAAATGATACTTTTTTCTTAAATAATTAGACAAAAAATTGAGGGTCGTTTTATACATGGAAGGCAGCCCCTTTCCCCTGCCTTTTGCGAAGCCACAGGACTTAGCAAAAAGGAAGGGAAGGCTCTCTTTGGTTAAAGCAGCCATGAAAAGGCTGCATTATTGCAGCCATTTGATCCTGAAGCCCTATCATGGCTGCTTCAGGATCAAAGGGCTGCAATTGTGTAGCCCTTTCACGGCTGTGTTACCAACTTCCTAAACCCTGTGGGGCTTAGGAAGTGGATAAAGCAGCAATGAAAGGGCTTCACGATCAAAGGGCTGCGATTGTGCAGCCTTTACCCGAAATGTTTTGGAGCAATGTTGGGCAACAGAGAAGAGTTTAGCACCCCAGCCTGCAAGAACATTTTCAGTTCTGTGTTGCCTCCTGCCTTTTGTTTTGCGTGTCATCAGGACAAATGGCACTATTGCCACTGCATGTCCTTTGACTCTAACTTTTCTACCTAGAGCATTATTCATGTGCATAACTAATGTGTATCAAAATGTGTTTCTTTGAAGGTACAGTGCTTGAAAAGTGTTCAGAAAGTCACCTTTATACGCTTGACCTCTTGAATTGCTAGTGCAATAGAAGTGCAGAATAATCTTTTAGCTGGAGATAAAATTCTTATCACTGAGAAACTATCTTTGCTCTTAATCATGTGATAATTGTTCCTTATCTTTTTTCCCCCTTCTGTGTCACTTATTACTGTATCATCTTAAGTACATCAGACTTTGTGTTAGATAATATCCAAAGGTCATCATTTTGAGAGAGTATGCAGTTTATGAGTATGGATAGTTAAACTACTGGTGCAAGTTAGAAAAAGAAGTTCAATGAGAATTTTGTTTAATTTTTAAAGTTTACATGTAAGATGGTGAAGACTGCATTGATGAATAATTCCTGATGAGTATTTTATTTAATTTCTGCTTCATTCAGTATTTTGAATGAGGCAGGAATATTTCTTAAAAGCTACATCCCTAAGGAAAATCTGCCTTTCGATATTTGGATCCACTTTATAAACCTAATTTCTAGTTTTAGATATTGACAGATTTCAACTAAAAGCTCCAGTTCGTTGTGCTGGCTTTTCTAAGTGAACACTGACAATTGTTGGATTTAATCAGAGGTCGCTAATACAGTACTTTGCCTTGAGATAGTGATAGACTTCTGAGGCATGTTATTTCCAGTGTTACTCTTAACATGGAAATTTGCTTCATTCTTTTATATTTGTTTTTAGATAAATTGAAATTAAATAATCCACTGGAAACGTCAAATGACCTATCTGGGGTAATATTTCATTTGTTTCACAGACATTTCCTTCATTAATATCCATTATACAACCCCCCCCCCTTTAATAGACATTTTAAATGCAATGAACTTTTTTTGTTTGTTTGACAGGTTTCAGAAGATAATTTAACTTGGCAAATCTCACAGAATTTTCAATGTTAGCATTTAAATTGTTTCAGAACTTTTTGTTATGCACATTCCGTAGCCAAAGTATTGAAAAACAGAATGATTTAAATGTTCTGCGGTATTATTTAATTTTTTTTAATGATGTTACCTGCTGTGAGGTTAGGTAAACATAAAACAGTAAATATTTGTATTGCTAATAACAATCCAAAAATGTGGCCACTTGAAGGAAGCATGTTAACTTTTATATAAGACGTATTTGTGCTGTTCATGCTTTGTGGAAGTTGGCAGAGGGAGAGCAGATGAGATTTCCTTTTGTATTGCATACCAACAGAGCTTATTATTGAAGCCCAAAGACCTAGCTCTATGGTGTTCATATTCTGAGTACCAAATGTTGAACATATAAAATTGGGCAGTCTTTATGTCTTTGATTTTGTAGCTTTTTTTCTCCATTCTGTAATAAATATATTAAAACAAAAATCTGCCAAAAATGCCTGTCATCTTATTTTTAAAAACAAGATGCCTTTCAAAGCTTATAGAGCCAAGGTTTATGATTCATATAATTTTGGAACTCTCTATGGTAATATCTGTTGACTGAGATAAGAAAGCTGAATCATTTTCCTTGCCTGGTGGTTCATTTGGCTATATGAAATCAGTGTTGTAAGTCTTCATTGAATTGGTCAATTTCAGCCTCAGTGGTTGGTGCATAAACTTGGATTACTGTGATTTTGGAAGGTCTGCCTTGGATTCTTATTGAAATCATTCATTTTTGAGATTGTATCCCAGTACAGCTTTTCCCACTCTTTTGTTGACTACGAGGGCTACTCCATTTCTTCTATGGGGTTCTTGCCTACAATAGTAGATATGGTAATTGTCTGAGTTGAATTCGCCCATTCCTGTCCATTTTAGTTCACTGATGCCCAGGATGTTAATGTTTATTCTTGCCATCTCCTGTTTGACCACATCCAGCTTACCTAGGTTCATAGATCTTACATTCCAGGTTCCTATGCAGTATTTTTCTTTGCAGCATCGGACTTTCCTTTCCCTTCTAGGCACGTCCGCAGCTGAGCATCCTTTCCCCTTTGGCCCAACCACTTCATTAGCTCTGGAGCTACTTGTACTAGTCCTCCACTTTTCCTCAGTAGCATGTTGGATGCCTTCCGATTTCAGGGGCTCATCTTCTGGCCTTTTGTTTCTGTTCATGGGGTTTTCTTGGCAAAGATACTGGAGTGGCTTGCCAGTTCCTGCTCCAAGTGGATGGCGTTTAGTCCGATCTCTTCACTGTGACCTGTCCATCTTGGGTGTCCCTGCACACCATAGCCCATAGCTTCTCTGAATTACCCAAGGCCCTTCGCCACGACAAGGCAGCAATCCTTGAAGGGGCTTGAGTAATATAGTTAGTTTACTAGTTTACTAAATGGCAATTGTGTGTTCTGTCCAGACTGATTAGGAATAATAAATAAGCTAAAGAATGATGAGCAGAGTAAGGCACAATTTAAGAAGAAGAAATTGTAATAGGAAGTAGCCATGTCGATAGCAGATGGATTTTACTCTATTATCTTGGAATTTTCTGAAAATTTTAAAGTTGCTAATTTTTCCTTCAGAATTCAAGTAGAGAAATGAAGGAAGAAAAATGTATTTAATTTGCTAATATTCTGGTTGATGTTTCTCCTTTTCTCCTTTAAAAAAGGCAATTTTCATGATTCCTACAAATCCCCCTCCAACATTCCGGAAGCCAGAACTTTGGTCTGATGAATTCACCGATTTTGTGAAAAAATGTTTAGTGAAAAATCCTGAGCAGAGAGCTACTGCGACACAACTTCTGCAGGTTAGTATTCAGCTAATATAATCTGAAAAGTTGTTGTCCCTAAGTAAGTTGACATTATGTCCCTACCTGGCCATAAAAATCATGACATTGTTAAGTTGGATTGCCAGAAGTCACCTAGGCCACTCTCTGACTCTGCAGGTTATCCACAGCTAAAGCACACGTTGCAGATGGCCATCCACTTCTGTTTAAAATTTCCAACACAGGGCAATCTGCAATTCTTGAAGAAGTCTGTTTAGCTGTTGGATAGTGCCTACTGTCATACATGTCTTCCTAATGTTTAGAGTTATCATTCTTCTAATTGAAATCCATTGGTTTAGATCCTATCCTTTGGAGCATTATGAAACAAGCTTGCTCCATCTTCCATGTGACACACTTTTCACATATTTGAATATGGTTATTATATAACTTTTCAAACACTTTTCACATATTTGAATATGGTTATTATTTCAGTCTTTCAATCTTATCTTCTTTACTTTAAACATGACCAGATGTTAGTTTCTTGGCCCCATACACTTTCCAATCCACTTCTAAGAATTAAGGATTCTAGATAAGAGTTTTTTGACTCTGTTGCTGTACTTTTGTTGTCGTAACCCTCCATTTGAGTCTTCCTTGTCTCCTTATCCCCTTTCTTTACCATTCTTTGATACTACATTGGATACAGAGTATAAGTAATTACAAACAACTATTTACCTTTTAAATGAATTCCTTTTGGAGAATGGCAGCTAGTACAGTGTTAACCCCTAGGCATGGATTTTTTGATTTTTTGGGGGGCTACAGATCTCATAATTATCTGTTCTGGACCTTCCCTTCTAACAGGCCAATACCTAGAGACACCTAAATATGGCTAACCTGGGGAAAAGGCCCAGCTGGGAAGCCTTTTCTCCACGTGAGCCACATTTATGTGTCTGTAGGTGTAGTTCTCTCAGGTGGAAAACTTCACCTTATATTTAAAAATACATTTAAAATATTTTCGGTTTATGTTTATTTAAAATATTTTTAGTCCACTTTCAAGTGTGAAACACTTTCTGCTGGTTTCCAGCTAATGCAAATATATTAATAGAATTATCTGAGAACATTCATTTTCAATGGAATTAAATCATGGGCTAGTGGCATAACATATATGCCAGTCCTTTAATAAGGAGTCCAACTATATTTAACTGGTTGCTTATAAATTAACCACATTTAAATAGGTATTGTCTACCTACCCTGAGCATTTTTATTTGGCACCATTTATATTTCATCATCATTAATGGCAAAGGGATTCATGCCGTGCGAAAGTGTTGCTTTGCTAAGGTAGAGTGGCTTCTCCTCTCATGATTGTTAATTTGCACTGTCAGCTTGTTAAAATGAATTAAATACTATAACAGAATGGCATTGAACAGTTTGTTTATTTATGTCAGGCTATCTTTACTTTGTTTATTTACCACCCAATTTGAATTTCCCTTGGACAATTATATCCTTAGCAGTAAAGCAGTTATGTTTTATAGTAACAGTCTTCTCATGGTTTCTGTATATCTAAACAAACAAAGAAAAATCCTATTTAGTTGCAAACCTCTTAAGCAGATCATACATTCTCTTATTCCAGAATTTAATTGGTGTCCAAAGGGAAATGCTCCTTCATGTAGCTCTGTGAAGTTGATTGACATGTTGTTTTAACATGTTACTTGTATTTATACTGTATGTACAGATTGTCTATGGGCTTGGTTTTTTTTAAAAAAAAATAACTATGTGGGTTTATTTTCTAGCATCCTTTTATTAAGAATGCCAAACCAGTCTCAATTCTAAGAGACCTGATTACTGAAGCTATGGAAATTAAAGCAAAAAGACATGAAGAACAGCAGAGGGAACTAGAAGAAGAAGATGAAAACTCGGTGCGTGAGAATTTAATTAAGTATTCTTCCCCCCCCTTTTTTTTTGGCCAGTTCGATAATCTGCATGTTTATAGTGATTCAGTTTTCATCAAAAGAACTGCATACTTCTCAGAATGTGTGTCTTAGCAAGTATGATACATAAACTTGAGTTCTAAAGCGCGTCGTCATGAATGTTTCAAAAAATGGGGAAGATGGAGAGGAGGATAATATGTACCAAATAGCATCATGTTCCTTTTAAAAATTTCTGGTGTGAAATATCTTGGCTGTTCTTTGAACTCAGTGGAGTTTTAAAAATAGTTTCTGCAGAATATATCCTAAGAAGAGATCAGTTTGAATAGATGTGAGAATGCTGCATGCCCTTCCTCTAAATCACAGCTACTATTGCTGTTATGTGTGGTCTGCATTCTTTCATGTGTCAAATAATACACGTATGATTAACATAACAGTCTGCTTCCAGAAGAGTAGAAACCTGCCTTATACCAAGTCTGAGTATTGGTCCCTCTAGTTCAGTATTGCCAGGGCTTGTTGGAAGCAGATGTCCAGGGTTTCAGGCAAGAGTTTTCCCCAGTCCTATGTAGAGATACCTAGAACTAGATCTGAGGTGTTTGGTACTTTAATTGTTGTGCTCTTGGATATTGTTAATTTACAGCTCAGAAGACCATTTTAAAAGCATATTACCATTAGAATTTGCTTGCAGCGCCCAGTCTTCCTCCCGCTTTGAAATGGGTTGAGTATTTTCCTATAAAGTTTAAAGTCTACTTTGTAAAAGGAGTCTGATTACTTTGACGGGTTGAAAACAAATTTTACATTGGATTCTGAACTCAGATTACTGTGATATATACTAAAATTATAAAGAATCATATATGTATAGGAGTACATCTCAGAACAAGAGAGTAAATATTTGTTGTGGATCATGCACAGTATGTGCTTGGTATTCACTAGATTGATATTTGTTTTAATTCCTATTCAGAATGCATTCAGGATGGTCTTTTAGTTAGAAAAATAAACAAAGCTGATTTTCCAAATAATTCATCGTTTTAGATGATGTACAGTCAATGGACCATATTTTCTGACTTGCAAACTAATTAAAGGCTTTGTAACTGTGATTCCTGCTGACAATCAACCACAGTTAACTGTAGAAATAGAAATATATTGATAGTCTGATTCGTCATGTATGTTTCCCATAGCATAAGCTAGAAATGCATCTATTACCTAGATACATTGCAAAAGACACTGCTTTGCAGCCAGTCTGAATCATTCTTTCTATTATGAAGATGTTTGCCTCAATTTGGAATAAATAAAACCAAGACTTTTGTTATAGGGTGTGTATAAGGTAGGAAGACTGCTGCCATGTTTCCGCTGGTTATGAAGTAAGGTATACTTTTCTATATATAAAAAAATAAAAGTCAGGAGTATATTGCTCTTGAATTATTCTGTCCAGTAAGGAGACAAACTAATTGAAAATTAACCTAAAGAGAATAAAATGAAAATAAAGAGATTTTAAAAAGTTTCACACGGACAAAACAAATGTACTTGAGGAGACTTGGAATCCATTCTTATAGGAAAAACAATTATAATCAAGGTTATTACACCTACGTGGCATCACAGATTCTTGTTTGGTATGACTGTGTCTCTGTATGCTCCCCTTCTCACCTTTAAAGGTTTGTGTGCACACCTTTTAACAGGGAAATTTTAAATATACTACCATGCCAAATACAAACAACTTTGTTAGGCACGCGAAGGCCAGTGAAATACAGAAATAGTCTGTGCACAACTATTTACTCTAATTCTTGTAGTGTTTTGTGAAAAGGTAGCTAGGTACCAGATGTGACTCAGAGAATGTACTGCATTGGTTTGCTCTTTTTATCTACTCTGTTAAGTACTCGTTTATTCATTATTTATTTACTTCTTAGATTTATATACCACTGACCCATCAATGCAAAGTACTGTTGTGGGTGGTTTATAACATAATATTAAAACATGACAAACAGTAAGATTATAATAAAACCAATTAACATCTGCAGTTATGTTTCTTTTCTACATGACAAAGAATTCTGCATAATTTGAAAGATTGTGTATTTTTCTTTTATTACTGGAAGTTTGTCAAGACCTCGTTTCCTCCTGTTTTATTTCTCTCTTTTCATGCTCTGCTGCAGTAATATACTGGTTATATAGGAAAAGGCAGGAATGTTCAGTGATGTAGTTCTGGTGGTTTTTATTCCTTCACTCAGAATTAGTCATGCAGTTTTCTGTGCAGGATGTTAGGGCATGAGAGTCCTGGTTATGTGAGAGGCATCTTGCTAAATAGTCTTGATGACTTATAGAGCTATGTCCAGTTACTTGCTGTAGTTATCTGGCCCTTAATTCTACTAATGTTAGGTACTGAAATAAATTGTTGGATCTTGTCCTTTATTTTTGGCTTAGTAGTTTCACTAGATTTATTTATTTATTTAATTTAATTTAATTTAATTTAATTTATATCCCGCCCATCTAGACTGAAGTCTACTCCAGGCAGCTAGATGTCCTTAAACAAGAGAGAAAAGTACAGTGGTGCCTCGCAAGACGGGCGCTCCGTTTAACGACGCATCCGCATTACATTTTGAATGGGGTTAATTTCACTGCGCGATGATCGGTTCCCTGTTTCAGGAACTGATTTTCGCTTCCCGATGATTAAAACAGCTGATCGTCGGGTTTTCAAAATGGCTGCCGGGTGCTCAAAATGGCTCCCCGCTGTGTTTAGGAGCCATTTTTCGCTGCACAGGCACCCGAAAATGGCTGCCCCTATAGAGGATCTTCGCTGGATGGTGAGTTCTTAGCTGGTTGGAAGGCATTAACCAGGTTTTAATGCGTTTCAATGGCTTTTTTATTTTCGCTTTACGACATTTTCGTTCTACAGCGATTTCGCTGGAACGAATTAACGTCGTAATGCGAGGCACCACTGTATGTTCATTGGTCATATTTTTACTTCCTTGAACACTGGCCATATTGTGGATTTATGTCGGCATAAGTGTAATTGTGTAAACTATAACAGCAAATTGCAGCTAATCAATGAATTGTTGCTTGCATTCCTGGTTGCAGGCCAGGTTGCATGATTTGCGCATTTACACTTAAATGTACATAAGTCCACAATAGGATTCTGGCCATTGTGTAGAAGAGGGCAGAGTTAAGGATGACCTGTTATCACAGAAAAGCCAAAATCATATTGGTATTTGCATAATTTGCCACAGCCAGTTACTGTTAATTGACAAACTGCTGTGATACATTTTGGTTGCATGCTTGGTTATGCACAGTTGTGTATTGAAAATGTACCCTGGCATCTACGTGTATTGAAAATGTACCCTGGCATCTAAGTTAGACACAATCAGCTGTGGCCAGTTGCACAAATCTTATTCAAACACAAATAGGATTCTGGCCATAGAGACAAAACTTTTTGTAAGTCTGATTCATGTGCTACTGAATAGTATGAAGTTAACACTGAGATAACAGACTTTATGAAATCTGTTGTCACTCATTCTCTTACTAGATATGCTAAAAGGAACAGTTATAGGATCTAGATGTGATAGTCAGCAGTTAGGATGTTAATAGAATCAGTTCTTATATAAATAAAGTTGTGGCATAGATTTAAAGGAAATATTTCATTCATAAAATTCTGTTTAATTTAGAGCTTGTTGGTTATCAGCTTTATTTGATTTATTATCTGTTTGAAGTTTGTTACATGAAAATAGCCTGTGGTAATTATTTCAAAATATACTGTCTCTTCAAAAGCTCAAATGGGACACCTGTAGCATGGTCAGCAATGATAAACAAGTAGCAGAATCTACCTTCTTTGAAAGATATGCCGAGTATGATAGGAAATAATGCTCTTGAAATTAAGTTTAGGCATGTTACAATAATAGCTTGTCTGATGAGAATGTATTCTGACAAACTGACATGTTTTGATAGGTGCTGAGGTAATTTTACAGATTTATTTAATTAAGTAAAAAGTGCAGGCTGAGTACTCTACAGAAGGTTAATCCTAATATCAAAGTTTAAATGTTAGTTTAAGCATTACTAAACATGACCAATCTTCTCTTTTATGCATTTTTGAAGTGTGATGCAAATTTGATTCTGAGGTCAGGCAGCTGTATTATGGCAACGTAAAGCAACTTGTTGCCTGGCAGCCCTCAGAAAACAAGTCAAAATATTTATTTCTGTGGATCTTTTAAAGAAATGAACTAATAATCAACTTTTATTTCTTTTTTTGCTTCATGTTTAAATTACTTCATTGTGTAAAACACTTCTTTTTAATAAATCCAGAGAAATATTTGACAAAGAATAAAAAAAATACACTCACCTTATTGGTACAGTATGCTTTTCCATGCTGCCAGTTCTGATAACTCAACTTCTTTTATGTGGTTGAATAGTTAATAGTAATTTTTGACTGAAACTAAAGGAAGTCAATGAAGTTACAATTAAAGGAAGAGGAAGTTATAGAAAGTTAAAAATTAGGGAGGTTGAAAAAAATATCCTCCTGTTGACATGTTTTGTTTCTAATCCTTGTATTTCTGCACCATTCTGAAAATATGAAACACGAAATTTTGTAGCATTAGGACTCTGGGGGCACACGAACGCTGGTGATAATGCATGCTGTGACTTAAAATAGTGTAAATTCTCATGGAAGTCTGGATCCTTGCGGCAAGAAATGAAGTTTGCATTTTTATTGACAAAACTCTTTGCTTTTGACTTTTATTATAATATCATATACTTCTTTGCCATGTGTTGTTTTCTAAATGTTATGGCTTTGATTATTTAATTAATATATTGAATGAAGGAAAAATATTGTCTTCATTTCTAGAGGTCTTGTCTCTGTTTCCTGGATATCTTGTAAAATGACACATTACTACTTGCTGTTTGGAATAAGAATTAAACTATGAAAGAATGTAACCTAAATTATAGGTTCATCTTTTTAGTATTTTTGAAGAGAATCACTAATGTCTATCCATCCTTGATAAGAGCTGGCA